CCCTGCCCTCCCGGATTCCCCTGGTTGCTCTGCTGTGCACACGCTGAGTGCTCTGGCTGCCGAATGGCCGGCTCCCCTGGGGCACTCAGCTGCTTCCCCTTTGCGTGCCTCCGTCGGGCCGCGCCTGCGCATGCAGGTAACGCCTTAATGTTCTCCCTGGGCAGCATGCTAGCTGCCGTAGTTCTGCCCCCGGACGTGCGCCCTGCCCTCCCGGATTCCCCTGGTTGCTCTGCTGTGCACACGCTGAGTGCTCTGGCTGCCGAATGGCCGGCTCCCCTGGGGCACTCAGCTGCTTCCCCTTTGCGTGCCTCCGTCGGGCCGCGCCTGCGCATGCAGGTAACGCCTTCCCCGTCACATGAGGGCAGTAAGATATTGTGTGTCTTATTTTCTATCCCTTTCTTAATAATTCCTAACATCCTATTTGCCTTTTTGACCGCCGCTCCACACCCTGTGGAAGTTTTCCGAGAACTATCCACGATAACTCCAAGATCTCTTTCCTGATTATTTTTTACACTTATCCACATTAAATTTCATTTGCCATTTTGTTGCCCAGTCATTCAGTTTGGTGAGATCTTTTTGAAGTTCTTCACAGTCTGCTTCTGTCTTGACTATCTTAAACCGTTTAGTACCATCCGCAAACTGTACCACCGCACTGCTTACCCCTTTCTCCAGATCATTTATGAATAAGTTGAACAGTATTCGTCCTAGGACTGACCCTTGGAGGACACCACTGGAGGCCCTCTCCATTCTGAAAATGTACCATTTATTCCTACCCTTTGTTTCCTGTCTTTTAACCAGTTCTCAATCCATGAAAGGACCTTCCCTCTTATCCCATGACAATATAATTTACACAAGAGCCTTTGGTGAGGGACCTTGTAAAAGGCTTTCTGAAAATCTAAGTACACTATATCTACTGGATCCCCCTTGTCTGCATGTTTGTTAACCCTTTCAAAGAACTCTAATAGATATATTTTGTAGGATATTTAGTCCAATCTGATTAACTACATTCTGGTTAACCAAAACTGCAGGTCAGATATAGTTGGAGTATATTCCCTCACCTTGTTTCTGTATCTCTATTCAAATCATGTATGATCTATCTACATTAGGAAATGATTTTGAATTCACTAAATTTGAATTCTGAACTCAAATTTACAAATTCAAACTTCCGTGTCCTCACTATGGGGAAGTAACACAATAAATCCAAAATAGCACGTCCATTTTTAATGGAGCCTATCTCAGACTTAGAGCCTCAGGAAGTACTTTGGGGTGCACACCAGGAGTGTCTGCTTGGTCTGGCAAACAGTGATGGGTGCTTACAGGGGCTCCTCTCCACACCCACTTCTCACAAGGCACTCCTTCCCCACAGAAGAGGGACACAGTGGGCACATGCCTTGTTGTGCTGTAGTTGCCCATGCAGATGTCACAGCTCTGCAACCGTAGACCCAGAGCTGCTGCAAAGCAGTGCCATGTTCATGGCTCTCATGTTGCGCCTCATGGAGCTGTACATTGAGAGTGCCCATATGTTGCTCCAGCAGGAACAGGAGGAGGACAAGGAGCACAAACCACAGTAAGGCCTTCAGGCCCTTCCCAGCTAAGTCCTAGCACTCCTGCTACAGTGTGTGCCTCTCGTTCCCTGGACACAGTAGAAGGCCACGTCTGGTGGAGGAGATGAGTTCGGACTGGTGGAACTGTGTCATCATGCAGGGATGGAATGATCAGCAGTGGCTGCAGAACTTCTGCATGTGCAATGCCACCTTCCTTGAATTCTGCAAGTGGCTTGCCCCTGCCCTTAGGCAATAGGACACCCAACTGAGACCCACCATTACTGTCCAGAAGCACGTGGCCATTGCACTCTGGAAGTTTGCCACAGCTATTGTTCCATCAGGAACCAGTTCGGCGTAGGGAAATCCACAGTTGGGGCCATGCTCATGCAAGTAACCAAGGCCATCAACCATATCTTGCTATGGAGGGTCATCACTCTGGCAATGTGGACAGCACACCCAACTGCGGGTGAGACCATAGACAGAACACACATTCCAATCCAGGCTCCCAACCACCTGGCCTTGGAGCACACCAACCATAAGGAGTACTTCTCCATGCTGCTGCAAGCACTCATGGATCACAAGGGGTGCTTCATTGACATGAATGTGGGATGGTTGGGAAAGGCACATGATGCCCCCCATCTTTTGGAACTTTGCCTCTTCAGAAAGATGCAAGTCATCACTTTTTTCCCCCACCAGACAATCAGAGTCAAAGAGGTGGACATGCCCATCGTGATCCTGGATGATGCAGCCTACCCCATGCTCCCCTGGCTCATGAAGTCCTACACGGGAAGCCTGAACCCCAGCAAGGCATTCAACAGAAAGCTTGAGCAGATGCAGAATGGTGGTGGAATGTGCATTCAGGCATTTAAAGGGAAGGTTCAGGATTCCTCACCCACCTGGATCTCAGCAAGTGCAGTTCCCTTCATGGTAGCATCCTGCTGTGTGCTCCACAACCTGTGTGAGAACAAGGGAGAAACATTACTGCCAGGGTGGGAAGCTGAGGCAGAACACCTGGCCAGGAAGTTCAAGCAACTGGACACCAGTGCCATCAGGAAAGCACAGTAAGGGGCTGTGCTCATCATAGAGGCCTTGAAGAACAGTTTTACACAAGGCCAGTTGTGAGACTCTTCCCCCATCGCTCAGCACAAGGGGCCCCTACATTCCCTGTGTGTGTCTTTCAACTCCCACTCATCCCTTCTCCTGCTCTCCCTTCCCTGCAGAGCAAGCAATAAAGAGATCATTCTTGAAAAAGCAGGAGTCTTTATTCAGGGGACATACAAAAGGGAATAATGAGGGCAGGGAGTTCAGGGATGAGGCTGGGACTGGCATCAGCCTCCAGGTGACCTGGAGGCTACAGCTTCCCTATAGGGCTCCCCCTCCCCCCATGTTCTGGGGCCCTGGCAATCCCTGGGGACCCTTGCAGGGAAAGCCATCTGGTGGGCGGGGAGGTGGCTGGCCACCCACTCAAGGATGCCGCCACACACTTCATCACTGAGATGAGGGTGAAGAATGTAGTCTTGTGCTGGCACACAAGCTGTTCCAGGGTGGCCTTTCTCTCCTCCTAGTTAGCCCAGCGCTCCTCTCACTTGGTGGTCTGATCCAGGTGCGCTCTCTCTTGAGTCCCTGCACAAGGGACTGCAGGCAGACCATCTGCTCTCTCATGAGCTCGTCCCAGGTTCATTTCCACCTGTGGATCCCGCTCAGGCAGGTAGATGCAGTGGGAGATGGGAGGGTGGGTGCCCAGCTCGCAGCTGTCCTACGTGTGAAGAAAGGTTACAAGGACAGTTATCATAGGAGACAATTTGTATAAAGCCTAGCCCTAATCTCTGAGCCAACACTGAAGATCTCAGTTCAGACAATCGCAATATGTTTCGAGCATGGCCATATGTTTAAAGTGGGCACTTTCCAGCAGATACACAAATGTCCGAGGGGAGTATTTCAATACACGCAGCCCAGAGACAAGCAGGCATGGGAAGGTGCTGGCCAGGCCAGGGGCTTGCAGGCGGGTAGAGGGGATGGTATGACTCAGTTTCCAATTGTGTCCCGCACATGCTAGGTTTGGCACTCACAGCCACCCACAGAGAGAGAACTTCTATCCCTGCCCACTGAAGTGGGGGAGAGAGGAGGAGAAGGTGTGTGTGAATGGCAGATGCCACTTGCCGGAGAGAGTGCTAATGGTTTCCCCTTCTCCAACTCCTCCCAGCAGGTTCCCATGTAGGTCATCACCATTCTCAGCATCATCGTGCTTGATTGGAAGCAACTGCTGACTGAGTGCAGGCATGACCCTGGGCAATTTGCTGCACAGGTGTGTGGTTCCATGGCCCCAGAATACTTACTGGCGGCTTAGCATGGAAAGGTGTCCTACCACGGAGGCTGGAGTAAGGCAGGCTTCTCCAGGAACTTTGTGAGAAGGATTGATGGGTTCCTGTATGAGAGGGTCATGGAGCTGAGTGTTCCAGACTGGTGCTTTATCTGCAGACACGTGAACAAGCTGTTCTGTGACTCCCATGCTGAATAGGCCGGGAGAGGAGTGTACACATCCTTGCAGCTTATGTATTTCTGAAGGAAAACACAGGCCATTGCATATTCTATTCTAAAAGCTTATATATATATATATATAGTGTTTTTTTCAACTGAAATATCATTTTGTTCCTTTCATTGCACGTTATGCAAATCTAATACATTCTTATTATTATTTAAGAAATTAAGGGAAAGATGGCTACCCTGGCTTCAAGAATGCTTAGGAATGTAAGGGAGAGTAAGACCCTTTTACATCCCTGCATGAGTCCCTTCATCTCCACTGTGGGATTATTGTAATGAATGCCATGGTTGACAAATGCTAATGGCTCCAAAACATAGATAAAGAGGAAGGGGAAGTGAGCGAAAGAGAGAGAATAACCATGAGGTTCATGTTTCATCATTTTCCCTTTTTGTCAGAAAGTACTCTTATATTATGGCAATCACTGATAACTTGAAAACAGAGCCTGTTGACTAAATGAGAGGAAGGTCCAGAGAATTGTCACCTGTGTGGTAAAACCTCTGAAAGACAGAGACAAATAACTGATTGGAAAAATATATGTAATTTGTAGCATTAAGTCTTTCTTGTTAGATATTTCTAATGTGGACTTACTTAGATTAAGCAAAATGTATTTTAAAAGTGTATGTCCAATACTGGTTCCAGCATGACAGAATTTTAAAAAACTGCTAAAAATTGCATTATATAATGTAATACATGTATTCAGCTAAATTTCAAATGAAATACATGGATAAAACAAGAACCTGATATATTAATTGGTTGGAACATAGCCTTTTCATGATTTTATAACACCTGCCACAATTTACAACTGGATGACTATTCAAAGTGTAAATGATTTTTCAACGATTACTGACAAGAAATATTCCTCAGTGTTTTCTGATGTATTTAAATGAGAAACAATTTTTTTTTTATTTTATCAGACAGGAAGCACTGCTTGCTGCAATCAGTGAAAAAGATGCAAACATTGCCTTGCTTGAATTGTCTGCTTCAAAGAAGAAGAAGACACAAGAGGAAGTAATGGCTCTTAAGCGAGAGAAAGACAGATTAGTGCATCAGTTAAAACAGCAGGTGGGAAAACATTCATTTTACTCTTATTCTGTGGGCAGCAGCTTTGTGAGATTTTCATTGTTTTATTCTAACCCCATATTGAAAGTCTTCAAGCCAAGTCTGCATTATACTGCAAGGTGGGTAAAAATAACGTAAGTTTTATCATACTATTACTTAATTGTTGACTTTTAGTACTTTGACACGCATGTTTGCTTGGCTCATGGTATTTTCTGTTTCCCCTCTTCCATGATAGTTGCCACCTTTCTCATGACAAATGACATCAAAGAGCAGATGCATCTCTTCAAACCTGCTTCGTTATGTGTACATTTGTAGTAAATAGTTACTTTGTTTAGAAGGTTCCATGTTTTCTGAGAGGTTATCTGGAAATCATAATTGTGATTAAAATAAATCCCCAAATTAATAAAACACTTTTATCTTTGTTGTTACAAATACATTCTAGCAAATGAGTGCTTAGTAATAATCTCTAGAAATAAGTTTTGCTGCATAAAAATTTCTGTGAATGCCATTTTATTTTCTACCTTATAAATGAAGAAAATCACCATAGTAAGCAGCATACAGTAAACATGGACATCTCCACTGACTAATTTCAATGTGAACATGCATTGTACACTGACTACTCTCTGATTTAGTAATGGCACTTCTAGGTACTGCAGGCTCAATAGCAAACAAGTGAGGGAAGGATGCTCAGATAACCTGAATAGGAACTATCTGTGTTGTGTGTCATATGGGTATGTCATCAAACACCTTCTCTCCTCTAATAATGCTGAGCAAAGAGATGAGAAGGATGTTTGCAGACTGTGACAGATAGATAGTGTTGTATTTGGAGTTTTCCTTTGTTTGGTAGTGTCATCATTGAGTTTTGTGATTGTTACCTGAGAAACAGGAAAACATCACTAGCAAAATCATGCTAGACCCTTCAGCCTCTCAAATAATCAATCAGTAGTTCATTTCACTGGTGAGCATGCCATGTTAATATTGTAGTTAGCCAATGTTATGATTCTTTATTCTGAATCATACATTGCATACTGTAGGTTTTCATTCACTCAGCAACAGAAAATTAAGGAAAACCCTTGCTTCTTAGCCCAGTTCCCTATAGCTCTGACCTCATGCACCTAATCATTATAGCTTTTTCCCACAGGTCTGTAGAAATAGGAAACAGCCCCTGAGCATGAACATAACATCCATTTGTGATGCTGACTTCATCACAGACATTGCTGCCAAGTACCTGGGTTCCAGCCATGATGTACATATGTCTCAGGTCAGTCAGCTGTTTAGGAGAGATTTTAGCCATTACATATACCCAGTAGATACGTCAACATTTGTACGTTTTCATTCTTTTTACTTATTGATCCTAGGATTGTCCATGCTGTAGTGAAGCAGCATGGATTCATACAATGATAGGTTCTTTTTATTTTCTTTCTTTTATGTTTTTTTATTTATATTTGTTAAATGATAGCAGATATTTCCTGTGACCACTCCAGATAATTCCCTTTTTATTTTCTCCATCATTTCTGACTGAAGAGTGAAACTATACAGCACCTTTTCTCTACAAAGTCCGTCATTTTTGAAATGCACTCTAGATAACTTTTCACAGATTAGTGTATATCTCTTAAACTGATTGCTGTGAAACTGTGCATAACATCCATACTCTTCAGCCTTAATGTAGCGATGGATAGAAATAAGAAGAAGGGAGTCGTCAGAGTTGCATTTTGGATATTTTAGATTAGAAACTTAATCAAGTACCACTACTTTAGTAATAAAGAGTTTAATAAACATTAAACTGATGTCAAAATGTCCTCATTTTATTGTCCTAGACACCTCAAGAAGAAAAACAAGACATTGTGAATGTGGTTTAACCAGGCTTTAATTTTATTAAGTAAAATATTTGTGAATCCTCCGACAATAGCTTGTCCAGTGCAGGTCATCCTTTCTCCTGTAATATATGTGATCTGGGTAGGGCTGATACCTGTCCTCATTGCCACTCACCACCCTTCCCTTGTGCAAGAGTTAGTGGCATAGGGAAAAGAGGTGGTGTCCTTGCTGTATCAGTCATTAGAAGCCCTGGCCCTGTTCCCGCCTTTTTTAGGAAACGCTTTCTAATCTGCTTCCAATTCTGATTTGTCAGAGAACCAGACAATTAACTGCAATGGGTATCTGTCAGGTTGTGACAATATTAATTTTACAGTCTAACCTATCCTCAGTTTGCTGAATGGAGAGAAAATGGTCACCCACCCCCTAACCCTCACCCAAAAAAACCCAACTAGACAAACAAAAAAAATCAAAACACCCTGGCCAGGCCAATCTGTCGGTGAAGGAAATATTCCTTTCAAGCCCAGAAAGTTGAGTAGATGATGCCAAATAGCAAGGTTCCAATTCCTAGTCTTACTCTAGTCCCAAGTGAGAGAGACTTTTCCTCCAAGACACAAGATGGTGTCTGAGGCAGGGGGACAGGCCTATAAGACCCAAACAGGAGTCAATAGGCTAATGCTATACTCCTCCATCTAGCCAAGGAACACCCCTTCTCAAGCCCACAAGGAGACTGGCTGCCCATAGGAGAGGAGGAGGAGGTCAGTCCTTATAGGGCCAACTTTATTCTTCCATACTGGCTCAGAGAAAGTCTTCCCATCAGTGAGGCTACAGTAAGAGTGGTAGGGTTTGCTGGGGCACCCATTATAAATAGACTGAAGAGGTGTCACTGAGACTCTCTTTAGCAGAACAGCATAATGGATAGAGATTTTTGTGCCAAAAAGAGCCATCAATAGGGGATAGCAAATTAAGTTAGAAATAAGCAATTTAAGGGTTTAAGTGGCCCAGACTGCCATTGCTTACAGGGAACTTTCAGCTTCTGACTTTATTATACTGTGCTCATTTCCTGTACAGGACTTCAGCCATAGCTTGGGTAACAAAGAATATATCTCTGACTCTCATGCATCAATCAGATTTGTCTCCCCATTGCATTGCTGCATTATCTACAATGTTCTGGTTATGTAATTTTTTTGGCAGGGAATTTCTTCATAATAACTTCACCACAAATAAAGTGGGGCAGGGTTGCCTGGGCTTGCCAAAGAAGGACAGCTCTACCTTATGCCTGGGGGTAGGGATGAGTTGAGAGACGTCTGCAAAGAGGTGGATGGTGGTCAGCTTTACAGCACTGACTCATTCCCCAGGAACGTAGGGTCTGAAAAGATATAAAGGTGCAAACCCTGGTCAGGGAAATCTTCTTTGTTCCATGCAGCAAGCAAAGCCATCACCCACCCTTCATCCTTTAGCAAAGGTGAATAATAAATTGGGTTAGGACCTGCTGTAGGCATTAAGCTAGTTGCTCCTTTTTAGGGGGACTGGGAAGGAATTTTTCTTGTGCCACCAGATTGGCTTTGGTAGAGTGAAGCTTTTTTGCCTCCCCTGCAGCGAATGTCAGGGAGAACCTTTTCTGGGAAGAAGAAAAGGTGGTAGGCCATGTGTCACAATTAATATTTTAAGGTTGGGTGGCTGTCCAGTGGGAAGTATCCAGTGATCAGATAAATGGCTTGTCAAAGGATTTAAACAGAGGTACTGGAAAAAGGAATGGAATGGGAGAGTGGATTTGGGGTCTTCTTAGATTGGTATGGCAGGGAGCCAACCACCACATTTTCATAATCCATCTTAACCCTCTTACAGGAGTGGTGGATGGTAAGGTTCAAGATATGGGCTAGTATGGGCTAGCTGGGGATGGAAATTAAAAGGGGCTGGTGGAGCCCTCGGCAATGATAAGAATAAACATGGATTTTCTTGCACTTTACATTTTATCTGTCAGGTAGTACTAGACATCTATATAATAAAGATGTGGTGTGATCAAAATCTATATCAAATGTCTCCTATCCTTCTTTTGGTATATTGAGACAACACTTATGCCACACTGGGGCTGTGTCTACACTGGCAAGTTATTCCAGAAAATCAGCTGCTTTTCCGGAAAAACTTGCCAGCTATCTACACTGGCCGCTTGAATTTCTGGAAAAGCACTGACGATCTAATGTAAAATCATCAGTGCTTTTCCGGAAAAACTATGCTGCTCCCATTCGAGCAAAAGTCTTTTTCCAGAAAACTGTTCTGGAAAAGGGCCAGTGTAGACAGCACAGTAGTGTTTTCCGCAAAAAAGCCCCGATCGCGAAAATGACGATCGGGGCTTTTTTGCGGAAAAGTGCGTCTAGATTGGTCACGGACACTTTTCCGGAAAAAGTGCTTTTCCTGAAAAGCATCCTGCCAATCTAGACGCGCTTTTCCGGGAATACTTTTAACGGAAAACCTTTTCCGTTAAAAGCATTTCCGGAAAATCATGCCAGTGTAGATGTAGCCTGCTAGTTTTTACTGTGTCCCAGTATAAATATAAATGTTTCTTTTCCCCTTCTTTTTTATACCTTCCAATGGGAATCTTTGTGCTGCTCTCCAAGAGTATGTCTACATAAGAAAGTTACTTCAGAATAATGACTGCTATTCCGAAATAACTTTGCAAACGTCTACACAGCCAAACCGCTATTTTGAAATAATTTCGGAATAATGGACAGCTTATTTTGAGTTCTGTAAACCTCATTCTACGAGGAATAGCGCCTGTTCCAAAATAGCTATTTCAGAATAGGGGCTGTATAGACAGGGAATAGGGGCTATTTCGAGATAAGGACCTCCAGCCCTTTGCTGACGACTCTGTCCACACACAGGAAAACTCTATCGCCCCCCCCTCCGCTGGAGCCCTTAAAACTGCAGATTCTGCAGACAGAGTTTGTGCCTCGCAGCAGACCTGAGAGCCCTGAGCCACCCTGCAGCTGCCCCGACTCCATTTAGGCTCAAGATGAGCCAGACAGATGGTGCCTGCCAGCCCTCCACTGCTCCACGGGAGCATTTAGCCAGCTCCCAGGAGCCTGCCAGGGGCCGCAAGCAATGTGCACCTTCCTGGTCTGGTGCAGAGGTCCTGGATCTTACTGAGATTTGAGGGGACGAGACAAACCTCCAGGATCTCTGCACCAGACACAGGAAAATGGACATCTATGGCCACATGGCAGACAGTCTGGGGAGAAAAGACCACATCCGCACCCAAGAACAGGTGCGGATAAAAGTCAAGGAGCTCCACCAGGCTTATGCCAGGGCAAAGGAGGGCAGCTCCCAATCTGGGGGTAGAGCCCCACACCTGCACCTGTTATAAGGAGCTGGACGGCATCCTGGGAGGTGGGGTGGGGCAATCCCTCCCCCCCGCAGTTATATACTCCGGGGTGGAGATGCCCGTCGTCTTCTTTGCTGGGAGCCCAGACAATGGTGACGAGGAGGAGGACCAGGACGAGGCCAGTCTGAGTACCAAGCTGACCCAGGAGCCCCGAGGCCTCCCTGCTGACATCTCGCAAGCATCGTCCAAGGCCGGGGAAGGAACATCGTGTGAGTGCCATCACTTTCTCGTCATTCAAGGGGTGGGGGGTAGCTAGGCACTCCATGCTTGGCCCTTGTTGACTGCGGATCACGCAGCAATCTGTGCACATGGGAGCATGTGCCATGCCACTCCTGGGCACTTGACCCTAGAAGGCTGTGACACAGGAGCCTTGGGCTATTGGCCATATGGTGTCTGGAGAGACCTGCCATGCTCCTGACCCCGGGGTGGGACACCCTCTCTCCACAAGCTACCTCTAGAAGGAGGCAGGGGACATCCTCCTTCCCCCCCTCCCCCCGACACACAGACACACTCAGCTTTCCCGCACACGGGCATGGCCACAGTCTCAGGGCAGTCCCCATTCCCAGGGACATTAGGGACCACTGGCCTTAGCGCACATGGCCTGGTTCCAAGCACATCGCCTGCGACTGCACTGTGAACTGTTGCTCTCGGCTTGAAGAGGGGGGACGGGCTTCAGGCATTGTGTCCCCAGGGATGACTGACCATCTTTCTTTGTTCTCCACAGCCGGATGAGCTGTGAGTGGAGGGTGGCCCATTCCACCGGGGGCATCCTCCTGCACCTGAGGCTTCTGCAAGCGCACATGTCCAATGGATGAGTACCAGCGACAGCACCTGGCAGCACTGCGAGCTCTGCACAGTACTATCCACCCCTGGGTGGAGGAGGACCTGCAGCTATGGTGGGAGAGCTGGTGGAAGCTATTTGGGCGGGGCTGCTCACTTTGCAATGATGTGCACACTCTGCTGCACAGCATCCTGCCTCCTCCTGTTCCAGACCCAGCTCCCTCTCCAGCTATTGGTCCTCCTCCCACTCCCTCTCCAGCTATTGGTCCTCCTCCCACTCCCTCTCT